AGTATAGGCCACTTAGGGCCTGTCTGTCCTAGGGGTAGCCCGGGCCTGCTATAGGCAGTTAGGGTAGCTGTAGGAACTCGGTTAGTACCAGGACTATATTTTCCAAAAATTACAGATCTGTCCCTCACGAATTTCCACACAGGCGGATCTCTCGGTTAACCCTCAGCCAAACAAAATTGCAAAACTAACCCTACCAGTTAGTGTACAGCTTCGCAGACAATCTCGGCAGCAGAAATCAGCAAGTCATTGCAGGCTTACCTTCCCCGGGAGCGAGGACCTCCGAGCTAGGGGTGCAGGCGAGGCGAACGACGAAGGTCACCCTTCTGAGCAGCCTCATATCGCAGTACAACAGACTTTGCTGTCTTGATCAGGTCTCTTCTGTAGAACCATCGGTTCTCAGAAGGGGGCTGGAAAGCGAACCTGAGAAGATACTGCCGGTCGGGGCCAGTGCCCCACTCATCCTCAATGGCCACCACATCATATCCCTTGTCAGGGATTGGTGGGCTTCATTGAGGGGGCCGGTCAGGGAATGCATCAGCTGCCGTAAAAGGCAATAGCTTAGATGCATGAAAGACCGGATAGGTTCGTCAGCGGAACGTCGATGACGTACGACGGACCGAAGGGATCAGCGCCCACTGTATCTAGAACCTGCCACGGACCCAGGTAGCGCGGCAACAGCTTGGGAGAAATATCCTCCTCCCTCGACAACTCAGAACTGGCCACCCAGACATAGTCCCCAGTGCGGATGGGGGAAGGCCGCCTGTGGCGGTTTGCTTGTTCAATCATGGCCTTTTGGGCCTTGAACAAGTTCCCCCGGGCTCTTTCCACATCCAGACGATAGCGTTTGGCGAACTCTGCAGTGCCTGGGGTAAGGTCAGGCTTAGCCTTGTCGATGATGTCATCGAGAGGCTGTCGTGGCTCACGTCGCCAATGTAATCGGTAGGGACTGAACCCTGTCGAGGAGTGGACAGACATGTTATACATGAGTTGTGCCCTTACCAAGTGGAGATCCCAGTCCTGCTGATCGGGAGAGATCACAGGACGTAGCAACTGGAACAGGACTTGGTTCATCACTTCAGCCAATCCATTGGCTTCAGGATGACGACCAAAAGTCATGTTCAGGCGTGAGTGCAGATAGTCCTTGCAGTAGGACTGCCACTCATCGCTGCAGAATCTGGGGTCTCGGTCACTAACAATAGAGGTGGGCGGTCCATGGTGTGTGACCCACCTCTCAGAAAAGGCTGCTCTCACAGCCGGTACCCTGGCTACCTCCGGCAAGGGGATGAACTCTGCGTATTTGGAAAACCTGTCCACGCAGACCATAACCTGACGCATGCCACGAGGGGTAGTCTTGCCTAAGTCTGTAAAGTCAATGGATACAGACTGGGCAGGACCATCAGGTATGGGCAAAGGTTTGAGCAATCCCAAAGGAGGTTTACGCTGAACCTTGTTCCTCTGGCAGAGCTCACAGGTGTCCACATAGCGCAACATATCACTCCGCATCTCCTTCCAGAAGAAGCGCTGCGACAGGGCTGTATACGACTTTAGGAACCCAAAGTGTCCACGTGCATCGTGGCACTCTGACATCTGCAGTGTCCGCAGCTGCTGATCCTCAGGGATGCACAAGCGCTCCTCTCCTCTGCTGTAGGTATACAGCAGGTCTGAACTCAGGGCATAGCCAGGTTCAGAGTTGGGATCTGCTTGCAGATTCCTGACGATGGGTCCATAAGTCGGGTCCTGAGGCAGTGAACGAGCAATGGTCTGACGGACCTCCTCTCCAAAGGGATGAGTAGAGGAGATCAGCGCAAAAGAGTCAGGCCTACGAGAGAGGGCGTCAGCTACCTTGTTGTAGCAGCCCTTCTTGTGCTTCAGTTCAAAGTCAAACAGATCAATGAACTGAATATAACGTGCCAACTTATCATTCAACTCTCCCTGGGACTTCAACCACTGCAAAGTGGAATGAGCAGAAAAGATCTTGAAGTGCCAGCCCATGAGAAAGTGTTTCCAGTATTTCAGGGCACTGACAAGAGCATTAAGCTCTTTCTCGTAGGTAGAGTCCTGAAGCTTCTGGGTCTTGATCTTCTTACTCATGAACTCTACAGGTCTCAGACCATTCCCATCATCCTGCTGAAGGACTGCCCCAATGCCGTACTGGCTAGCATCTGTAGTCAGCACAAAAGGCAAGGTGGGGTCAGGCAACTTCAGAACAGGTGCACGAGTCAAGGCTTGATTGAGTCGTGCAAAGGTCAGCTGGCAGTGAAGAGACCAAAGAAAGGGAGTGTCTTTCTTTGTAAGGTTAGTCAGGGGTGCAGCCACTGCAGAAAAGTTCCTGACGAATTTTCTGTAGTATGAGGCCAGACCCAAGAAAGACCGGACATCTCTCACTGTCTGGGGCTGTGGCCAATCCTGAATAGCAGCAATCTTGGCTGCTTCAGGGGCCAGTCCGTCTCCAGAGATCACATGACCCAGGTAGATAACAGAGGGAACTCCAAAAGAGGACTTCTCCCTGTTGATCTTATAGTGGCTGTCACGTAACGACAGAAGAACCAGAGCCAGTTGCTCCGCATGTTCCCTGATAGTTTTGGTGAATACCAGGATATCATCCAGGTAGACAACCATAAACTTATCCAGGTACGGCCTGAATATGCGGTGCATCTCAGTCTGGAATGTGCCAGGTGCATTGCAAAGTCCAAATGGCATCACCAGGTACTCATAAGTACCATACCTGGTTTTGAAGGCCGTCTTGTGGACGCCCTCCTCTGCCATCTCAATCTGGTGATAGCGAGATTTGAGGTCGACTTTGCTGAAAATGGTGCAGCCTTGGACCATATCCAGAAGGTCATCGATCCTAGGAAGTGGCTCTGTGCTCTTCCTAGTGATCTTGTTGAGACCCCTGTTGTCTATGCACATTCTGAACTCACCACTCCCCTTTGGAACAAGGAGGACTGAAGCACCGAATTCAGAAGTGCTAGGCCTGATCCAGCCTTTGCTGGTCAGGGTCTCAAGCTGTCGCCTGAGCTGCCAAACAGCAAGGGGGTGTATCAGCCTTGTATGATTGCAGCTGATTACCACCCTAAGACATCCTGCTTCTGCTTGAGAGCGAGAGAGTTTTATGCTCTCTCTCGCCAGTACGACCATGAGCGTCTGTTTATAGCTCTGGTCAAGCAGACAGACGCTCCCACTACTCCTTGTCCTCCTAAGATACAACAGGTTGTGGAACAGTACGCTGATCTGATGCAGGAGCCCTTTGGATTACCCAACCGGCCAACCAAGCATCACATTGAGCTGCTGCCTGGAGCGGTCCCTCCCAAGGGCTGCATCTATAGGATGTCACCTGCTGAGCTTGAGGAGTTGTAACGCTGCTGGCCCAGTCGTACTATCTTATCAGCAGCTTTGCAGACTCTCTCTTTGTCTGCAAACCTATCTTCCAGGGCCTGCAAAAGTTTGTCAGCCCCAGTGCCAAGGCCCAGTCCTCCAAAATCTGATTTTGGGCACTTGCTGTAGAGGTAGCCCATTTCTGGGCAGGCCCCTCCAGCAGGCCCACAACGGTTGCCACCTTTTGTTGCTCTGGGCACCGGAACCCTTTCAGATAAGCCCGGGTTCCAGCTGCCCAGTCCCCCACATCAATCTTGGGGTCATCCCCCTTGAATTTGCTGGGGGCAGGGATCTTGGGACCTCTGTGGTCCCCAGCAACAACAGCAACAAAGGTGGGAGGAGGTGTGGCTTTGGCCTGGGAGGAGACAGAGGGAGAAGCCTTGCGAGAAGAGTGAGGAGACACAGGAGGTGGAGAAGGAGGTGGAGAAGGGGGCTGAGAAGGCTTCTTGGGCTTCAGAGAAGGGACCACAAGGACCAGGGGACTGATGACGTTGGCTGCTGTTAACTGAGCAGTCAGATTCTGGATAGCATCCACGATCTTTGACTGCTGAGTTCCCAGATCAGCCACTCTGGTCTCCAGCCGCTGGATCCTCTCATCCCAGTTTGTGAAGTGGCTGGCTGTAAGTTTGTCCTGCAAAAGTTTCATCTCAGCCAGATCCCTTATACACTGGGCCACTCTAGCATCTGCAAAAGTCTTCTGAGCCTGCTGCAGCAGATGCTCTTTTCTGGAAGCAACTCAAATCCACAGTATCACTACTTTTCCAGGACAGAATTCACAGAATGAACATACAGAATGCAGCGCAATACTGTCAGGCAGTCCCAGAACAATTTTGAGTCAGAACAGGTCAATAGATGAAGAGATATGAGTCAGGGTAGGGAGGAAGAAGATGAATATGGTTGTCTTGCAGTCTGACAATTTCACGATTGTGACTCTACTGACAGACAGACCATCAATTCTATTTTTACTGACGCTAATCTAATCGCTACTCAGGGATTCATATGGAACAGACTCACTTGAAGTGTAGCCCTCAGTGGATGATGAAGCTTTGGCTATGGCTGCCAAACCCTGGTCTCGCCAGTCCTTGCAGACAGTCTTCCAGAGCTTCCCACGCATAGAATCTCCTGAAACTTGTTGATCCGCCCCGGTATGATGTGGCGATTCAGCTCCACCTCTCAGATTCAATGAATCTGGCTCAGTGGCGAGAGAATACTCTCCTGAAGGTATCTCGCCACTGCAGGTATGAGCCGCTGGTGCTAAATTTAGCCCTGAGTAGGGTTAATTTAGCAGGAGGTGATCCTGTGATCAATCCTCCCTCAGCATTGTACTGGGATTGAAGCCGCCACCCAGTAATCACTGGATTAGGGTAAATTTCGCCACCCTAGACCCAGTCATCAACTGAGGTCAGGAGGGTGGATGGCGAAATAACCCTATTCTCGCCACTTCCTCTCAGGCACACAGACAGGCTCAGGGTGCCTGATCAATCGCAAACTGATGCCCTGCAATCACCGCTTGTTTGTCTTCTCTTCCACTGGATCTTTACTGAAGAAGAAGAACCACCATGGCACTTCTCGCCAGTCAGGGCCAGAAAGAGAAGTTGCCCCTGTTGCGCTCAACCCTCTGAGCTCCAAGTCCAATCTTTGCTCCGATACCAACTGTTATGAACTTGGTTGTTTGACAATTTGATTGCCACTCACACACAGAAGAACTCACACACGCCCATACATGCACGAGTCAAAGGGGAGGAAGAGACAGAGTCCACCTGCACACAGACCAGAGATAAGCAGCGGAATAACAATCATGCACAAATGGGGAGAATACACACAGTGTTCTCTCTCTCTGATGAACTCCCAACAACCAATCACAAGATGACACTGCGAAGATCACAATCGGAAAGTAACCCAGATGATGAGCCAACTCAACACAGTTAACCTCAATTATCGTTACAGAGTTCAGCCCAGGGTCTCGCCACTCAAGAACCACACACTCCACTCACTACCACACTCTCAGAGTCTAGCGCTGCACAGAAACAGCCTCCCAGAGGCCAGCGCCATACACCCAGATGCAGATCATGAACAGYGAAGTAGTCTCCAGTGCCGATGAGTCACTCTGACGATGAAGAAGTCAGCTATGGCTGCCTAGCTGCTACCGCAGCAGCAGTACCCACRTGTACTCAGTGAAGACCYTCCAGTAGTCCTGCCTAACGCAGATATCCCCTGGGGATAGATGCGCTGAGCACAGCCCCAGCTATGGCTGTCTCAGGTAGGCTGGCTATGGCTGCCTCACTCCRCTGATGTCGCAGGTGCCGCTGTAGACATTTCGCGCTGCTAAACTTGGTTGGCCACCAACGCTGCACGCGAAAATGAAAAGCCAAAAGTCCCTACTCGATTCCCCTACAKGACTTATAGACTTCCTACACTAGCCTAGACCTAGACCGGACTGACTGGACCTACCGGTACCGTTGCTGCTTCGGCCTCTTGGCCTCTACCGTACCCGGCTATAGGCTATAGGACCGTATAGCAGTATAGGCCACTTAGGGCCTGTCTGTCCTAGGGGTAGCCCGGGCCTGCTATAGGCAGTTAGGGTAGCTGTAGGAACTCGGTTAGTACCAGGACTNAGTATAGGCCACTTAGGGCCTGTCTGTCCTAGGGGTAGCCCGGGCCTGCTATAGGCAGTTAGGGTAGCTGTAGGAACTCGGTTAGTACCAGGACTGTATTTTCCAAAAATTGCAGATCTGTCCCTCACGAATTTCCACACAGGCGGATCTCTCGGTTAGCCCTCAGCCAAACAAAATTGCAAAACTAACCCTACCAGTTAGTGTACAACCTCGCAGACAATCTCGGCAGCAGAAATCAGCAAGTCATTGCACACAGGTCTTAACCCTTCTCTTTGACTGAGTAAACAGCACAGCGTAATTCTGATTAGTCTGTTGTTCTGTGTGTGAATACTAATCCGAATTTTATTATTTTTTTTCTGTGAAAAGAATTGTCTGGATGGGTGATTCTCAAGCCTCAGGCGGTTCTGGGACGGGCAAGGAGCTTGACATTCCCAAAACCGCTCTGGAGCTGGAGATAGAGAAGGAGAGAGCAGTCGCAGAAGAGACGCGAAAGAGGCCTGAGTGGCTTCTGAAGGAGAAGGCGGCGGAGGACAAGAGGACTCAGCAGGCGATTGAGGGGGCTGAGCTGGCTGATTACTTCCTGAGGGCTGAATCTGATGGAAGATTCGATGAGACCCACAGGAAGTTGGCTGCATGGATCCGTTTGGAGTTCACAGCAGTGAGAGATGCCCACACGGCCTGGATGGACAGGATCTCTGCAGTGGAGAACTGCCAAACCCAGATAGAGGTCAGGCAAACCTCCCTCTCCTCCAGCAACGCTTGCCCGCTCTGAAGCCCCCACCTATTACTCCACCGAAATCTCCACCCCATTCCCATGCATCCTCCTCCTCTGCTGCAAAAACCCCAGTCAGTGCACCTAAAAGCAGACCTGCTATTCCGCCCAAGAAGCAGAAACCGCAGCAAACGTTTACCTCTGGACCGGGACCCGCAGGCTCACCTATGTCTGAGCCAAGGTACCCGAAGGTGTCCCAGCCTGGCAAGTTCACAGGGGATGACCCCAATGTGGACAAGACAGACTGGGTGGCCTCCATGAAGTCCTATCTGAAGGGCTTCACCTGTCCAGAGGCAGGTAAGGTGACAGCAACAGTGTCCCGCATGGGATGGTCTGCACTAAAGTGGGCTAATTTTGAGGCTAGAAAGTCTCAGAAGCAGCTTGCTGACTGGGCTTCTGCAGCAGGGTTGGATGGGATTTTCCAGGACCTGGAGGCAAGGTTTGCAGACAAAGAAAAGGCATGAAAGGCTGCAGATGAGTTGGTTGGCCTTGGTCAAGCCAAATACAGGGGTCCCCTGATCAAACTTTATGCAAAGTTTGAGCTCCACCCCTGACTTGTCCCTGTTTGAAGAGGACAAGCTGACATGGTTTCTCAGGGCAGCACCTGAGAAGTACACCACGTCCCTGTATACTGCTGGACACAAGGACTGGCGGTCCTTCGACAGAGAAGCCTTGGACATAGAGGCTGCACTTCATGTTCAGTCCACTTCCGAGAAGGGTAGCAGCTCCCCTTCCCAAAGTAGGAGAAAGGGAAGAGGGGGTCATTATGCCATGGAGTCAAATGATGACTCTGTAGGCACTGACCAAGGAGGATCTACTCCCCCAGCTGGGCAGGGTGCAGGAGTGTCACCAGACCAAGATGCTCAGATGTTGGCCCAGGCACTGATGGCTTTTACTCAAGGCCATTAGTCTCAGGGACAAAGGCCTTTAGGTTCTAAGGGGTCAAGCAAACGCCCCAGTGGTCCACAACAACAAAACCTCCCGAAGTTTGCCAAATGTCCCAGCAATCCCATGGATCCTACCTCTTTGCCTTAGATGGATTTGAAAATCCCAGAGGGTGTCTGTCAAAAGACGAAGGACAACCACTATGTCAAGGATTGCCCCAGACTGAGTCACAACAACCGCAACCACTCAGAAAACCGATCAGGCCAGTAGAGACTGCAGCCAGTTCTGCCGAACTGAATCCATCTCTATTAAGGGATGAATCAGCTGCTGAGCCTGATTTCTTTGAGGCTGCAGGGGACTCAATGTAATCATACATTGAGCCATTTATTGATGAGCCCTCATTTGAGAAGGAGCTTGACCAGCTTTGTTCTCTTCATCTCCAATTGAAGGAGAAGAGAACGAAGAGATCAGAACTGATCATGCTCAAGCCTCAAATTAACAGAACCAAGATCAAAGCCCTGCTTGACTGTGGAGCAACCAGGAACTTCATCTCTCAGAATGGAGCTCAAAAACTCCACTTGGCTCTCAAGGTTATTAACCTTGAGCACCCTCTGGAGATTCAGTTGGGTAATTCCCAATTTGTCTCAGTCAAGCAGGTCATCAAGGTTGTGCCAGTCACCTTTGATAACAAAGGGGAAATCAGACAGTCCCTAAACTTCTATGTTTTTTCCCATCTTCCTTTTGATATGGTACTGAGTATGACGTGACGTGGCTGAGGGCCACTAACCCTTCCATTGACTGGGCTCTGCCCAGTGTCCAATTGAAGACCCCACAGGGGGAGCTAAGACAATGTGTCTTAGCTATTGATCACCATCCTAAGACAAGCTGTTACTGCCTAAAAGCCAGGGAGTTTTACAACTTGTCTAAGGAGACTGACTATGAGAATCTGTTTGTGGCTTATATCACTCAAACAGTTCCAGACTCATCCTCTTCTCAGATTGACCTATCCATCCAGCAAGTGGTTGATGGGTTTTCTAATTTGGCTCAGGAGCCTACTGGACTTGTCTATAGGTAGACCCAACACCACATTCAGATTTTGACTGACTCTACCCCTCCCAAGGAAAGAGTCTACAAGATGTCACCTGCTGAAGTGGATGAGTTAAGGAAACAGTTGGAGTCCTTAACTGAGAAAGGGTGGATCAGGTCTAACTCATCTCGGTATGGGGCACCAACTCTCTTCTCTTCTCTTCTCTTCTCTATACTACTAAAGGAAATAGCGGTCCTCGCGTGGGGCCCAAACGAAACCGGGAGCCGCCGCGCGGGACCGCTCTCGGGCAGTGGGCAAGGGGGAACCGTAGGCGCGCGGGTGTTGGGAAGTGGCCGTGTCGAAAAGCGCATAGCAAGAAGCGCATAGGAAAACTGGCGACACCCACGAGGACTGCCAAAAAAAAAAACGAGGACGAATCTGTTCGGCGGACAAAGGCCGGGGACGAACCGGCTCCCGTTTCGGTCGTGTGGAGCGCGGTTTGCTGTGCAGGCCAAAAAAAAGCAGGGGACGAGGGATGAACCGGGTCCCGTTTTGGCTGCGTGGAGCGTGATTTGCTCGGATGCCGAACGGAAGCGGGCATTGGTGGGAGCTGCTAGCGTCGGGGGAACCGCCATCGATCATCGACGAGGCGGGTGTGGGGAGAGAGAGAGAGAGAGAGAGAGAGAGAGAGGGCGTTGGTGGGAGCTGCGGGCATCGGGGAAGCCGCCATCAGCCAAGGCGGAGAGAAAGGAGGTGGTGCGAAGGCGGGCTCGTGGACGTTGGAGGAACACCGACAACAACCCTCGTGCACGAGAGAGAGAGAGAGAGAGAGAGAGAGAGAGAGAGAGAGAGAGAGAGAGAGAGAGAGAGAGAGAGTTTTCCAGTCATGCACGCAGACCTCGCAGAGAGTTAAGGAAAGGCTACTTCCATCGATAGGATAAGCAAAATCGGAATGAATCTTCCACTAGAATATGGAAATATACATTGTTGTCCAGCCATGCACGCAGAGAGATATGGAGAGGCTACTTCCATCGATAGGATGAGCAAAATCGGAATGAATCTTCCGCTAGAACATGGAAATATACATTGCCAC